ATAGTGTGTGTGTGTGTGTGTGTGTGTGTGTGTGTGTGTGTGTGTGTGTGTTTGTGTATGTAAATACACATTCCTATGATATTTCCCTACAAGTTTTAAATTAAACACCAATATAAGTTCCATGTGGTATCCCCCTTATAGAATCCCTAACCCTTATCTCTAAATTTTTTGGCTTTATTATTTATTTTAATTTGAGCCAACTTTCCCTTTTCTAAATTTCCCTGGTCTTCCTTCTTTCCTTCTAATATTTCACCCATCTTCTCTCCCCCACTTTCCTGTTCTTTCCACAACTAATTTTCTTAATATTAACCAATTCCAGGCAAGTCCAGCATTTAATCCAATGCCTAATTAATGCAAATTTATATTATTCAAAGTTTAGTGTCTAATTTCATTGTAGCTTTTTATGAACCAATTTTGTTTACCTTGTATTTTCCTCTTTTTTTTCTTCTGTTTGCCGCTGTGTTAGTCTTACTCTTTCTTTCTACTTCTTGGGGTTGTTAAGAAAAAATAAAGTTCTTTTATCTGGTTGCACATCACTCACCACTTCACCGCTCCAGCACAAAACTTAAATCCTGTCAGCTTTCAGTCTTCAGGGCAGCCATTTTAGACTGCCATTTCTCCCTGTTTTCCAGGGGAGTAATACCAAGCCAGGGAGCAGAGATGTGGCTCCCCTCGACCCAGCTGGTGGTCTCCCCCTCTTTGCCCACCCCTCCGAGGTGGGTTAGGATGACACCGGTCCCGTAGGGACCCTTCCAACAAGGGAAACACAGACCCAAGCCACGCATGATCACAGTCTCTGACTATTGTCAACGGAAGCACCACCAGAAGTCCTGCCATGCCTGGTTTCAATAGTGACCACCAACACACTGAATTGCATCTGAAATTTTACTGAGAGACAGTGCAGTTCAAGTAGCAGTGGTATTATGTGTCCAAAATTTCACATACCTGTACATTTTGGATTAGTAGAGCTTCTGAATGCTTTTCAAGAACAGCTCTAGGTAGAGATGGATTTGTGCTAAGCCTTCCTGGCCATGGCTGTCACTTGTTCTAAGAGAATACAAAGATCGTTCTGTAAAATGTTAGACCAGGGGGTCCTAAAGCCACAGCTATTCAGTTTTGCTATCATTGAATTAAAGCCATTCTTTCTCTTCCAGATCCTCACAGTCTCCAGCTGCTTGGAAAGATTCCCAATGGCATTACTTGGATGACCAAGGGAAGAGATGTATAATCAATGGATACTAATGATACTTAATCCCATGCCAATGAATAATCTCAGAAGCTTATGTAGACATTGGGAAGCATCCAGCTTGGCATGGAAGAGGAATCAAAAATGTGAAGCTAGCCTGGAATCATTGCACAAGCACAAAAGGGCTAGGCCAACCACCACCACCACCCCCAATTCCTCACAGCCTTATCAAATTGTTCCAAATAGTAGGTTGACAGACTGGGGAAAAATCTTGTATTATAGGCAGAACTTAGTTTGCCTTAGTTACTTTGAACACTGCACATGTGAGTCAGATTGTTTACACCTGGCAGAACAAATTAAATAAGAGTGAGAAGGGAATTGAACTCTGCAGCACTCTGCAAAGCACAGACTTATGCTTAGATCTCTACTCCCTACCAACATCAGTTGTGTTGTGATTCGCTGGCAGCAGGTGTGGACGGCTGAGGTCTTTGAGAGCGAGGACTTGGATGAGGGGCCTGTGTGTGATGCAGGGATGGGGCCAGGACTATCAGAGAGTGGGGTGCTGCCTTTGGAGCTTGTGGAGTCTGGCAGCAGTGATGCAGATCATTGATGCAATCTATTTATTTATTTGGTTTGTCAATTGCTTACAAGATAATAGGTATAAGTAAAAACATAGTTATGAATACATGGATACATGGATGACCGTGGCTTGTGACCATAGTTTTGGCAAGGAGGTGGTCCTGAAAGATTTTTCAAAGATTATGCTTAGAGATTCGGCTATGGCAGTGGAAAGCTTTTTTAAGAAGTAGGCACATATTCCATCCGGTCCAATAAATAGAGATGGTTTTAGATTGCATAGTGCTTTTTCAACATTGTCTTCTGTAAAATCGATATGTATTAGAGCATTGTAATTGTCTGTGGTTCGACTAGGAAAAACTGGGCATGATCCATTGTTGTTTACAAATATTGAGCCAAAGAATGTGTTAAAGAGGTTGGCTTTAATGGTATCTTTACCATTGGGTCATTTCAGGGGTGGGATGGACCAGAGAAGGAGAGGAGGGTGCGGGAGAGGGAGAGGGAGAAGGAGAGGGAGAGAGAGAGAGAGAGACAGAGACAGAGACAGAGACAGAGACAGAGACAGAGACAGAGACGGAGGGAGAGGGAGAAGGAGAGAGACAGAGACAGAGACAGAGACGGAGAGAGATCGTGGTGTACATCTTGAAGGATAGCCTAATAGTGTTAATAGTTCATTTTTTTCTTCCACGCAGAATAGATCAGGGAGATTTTTTGTGTGTCAAGACCTATTATACAATAAAAGCAGATTTGTATGCACTGGATAGTTTGGACAGACAATTATTCTGTAAATTTCTTCCTTCGGTGGCAGTTCAATCTAGTATTCAACCTTGGTGTAGTATATAGTATATCCCTAGACCCCAAATCTGAGGCTGAGCATTATTTTTCCCCTTCTAGAATTCAGTCCTTTTCACTTTTCAATTTTATAGAGAAAGGCTAGAACAGATGTAATGGTTCTGTTTATATTATACAGTAAGTAGGTCATGGTTGGGGTAAGAATGTTTTGCAAACTCCAAAAGTGAATCATTTGAGTCAGCAATTAACCCAGAGCAATTTGTTTTGGCCTCTAAATGACCTGAATTAAGTATGAGAATGGGACACAATTGAACAGAAAGAGGAGGGGAAGTAAATTTCCTAGTCAATAAACTCCTTCCAGGGTCATGCAGTCTATTTATCAGAGGATTAGCTATCTCTTCAAATGTCCATGACAGAGATGCATTTCCAGAAAGGTCTGTGAAAAGGGAATTATCTCCATAATTGTTTGTTTTTACCCTCCCTCCAGGCCAAATGAGGTTGAAGAAATGCAATGGAAATGGTTGATATCCTGAACTATCCTATCCTATATCCCATCATAGTATAGATTCTGATGCATCTTTTTTACAGAACCATTGATAGGTATGACAAATGTGTCCACACCAACTTAAAAGAATTATTATCATTTTTTATCTGTTTATACCTTGAATCTAGCTCTATTAAAGGTTAAGTTGAAAGATGATAATTCAGCCAGGGATCTCCATAGTCACTGGGAGTAACTGAAACTGGATGTTCTCCATGTCTAATCCACCACTATAATAATTGCAACATCCATAATAGACCTATCAATTGGAATATTTTTTCATTCTCTGACCCTTTTTTTTTTTTGCTTGTTGCCAAGACTACCTTGCTGAACTAGAGGCTGTGAAACTCCCATGTAAATAGGACAATCACTGCTAAATTAAATTGCTATGATGAGATTGCAGCATTTGTGTAATTAATTTGTACCTTAATTATTGAACAATATAGATAAAAGAAATATTTACTTCCATTATTATAGCTCTTTGGGGGATTAATGAATATTAATTAATGATACTTCTATTATATTATAAAATAGGATTTCCCTTTGATTATTGTCTACGAAGCAATACAAAAGTAAAATTGAACGCTAGAAAATACACATTTATGTGAATCTGCTGAGTGTGCAGCTAGAGTTTTTATTCTAAGGGTCTAATAGTAAGTATTTTAAAAATTCCTAAATTCTATCTCTACTAACCCTTAATTTGAAATCCTGGTACCAATAATGTACAAAAGTCAATTGCTTTTGTCTTGGGTATTCATTATGTGTATCTAACATAGCTATGGAAGCATCTTATTAATAAATAATTTCTCTAGAAACATAATTGTATTTAACTAAATTATATTAATAATAATAAATGTTCAGGTTAACATACTGTAGAATACTATCAGAAGTATCTTATAACGGGAGATTTCTTTCTGTTTAATCGTGTCCAATTCTCGAACACTGCCTGCTGTTTTCTTGGCATGGTTTTTCAGAAGTTATTTTACCATTGCTGTTTTTCTAGAGCTGATAGAATGTAACTGATCACCCAGCTGGGTTCATGCCCAAGGCAGGACTAGAACTTGCACTTTCCAGTCTGATGCTTAGCCACTAAACTGATTCTTCAGGGTATTCAGAGAAACAGGAGCATATTCGGCAGTGTATGTACGTAGGCATAAGCTTTCCAATGTTCTTCTGAACCTTTGAATCTGCGACTCAGCGGGAGATACTCCAATGTCAGTATGGAGCCAATAGACCCAATCCAATTTAATTTCATATACTTAGGTATGAAGATGATATCTGAACAACAATCCTTTTTTCCAAGCTTCTCAGTACCACATATAAAAATTTGGGGAGATTTTCCTGATGTTTCATTATTTCTGTGCATAGTATACATGGCATGGGTTAATTCAATCCTCTAGTATTTGATACAAAAAGAAATAAGTTGGTGGGGGGGAGAGGAAGATTATTATCTCCACCTGAGTACATGATTGCTTACAGTTTTACTGTTGTATTACTTACTGAGTACTGATTACTTACTGAGTACACGATTACTTACAGTTTCCCTGTTTATACATTTATTGTAATATACACTGCCTAAAGAAGAAAATTGTATTATAGTTATAACTAATTTCATCTAGAGAAACTCAGATATTAAAAAAAGTTATTGAAAATTCAGAATTATTAATGAAATTGTATTTTCTAGTATAGATGCCCTCCAGGTGTATCAAATTTTTGATAAACATGCCCCTTGCTGAGAATTATAAGAACTGAAATCCACATGTCTGAATGGCATCTAAGTACGGCAGAACTATGTTATTTTTGTCCATCTATGACTATCTCCTCAAAAGATAACAGCAGATTCATTGTAATAATTAAAGGCTTGAGCTGTGGATAAGGAATAATTCACTGTAATAATTAAAGGTTTGAGCAATGGATAGTTTAAACTGCTCTTGGTTTAAACTTGGTTCTGCTATATACTCACCCAGATTGTATGCCTCTTTTGCAAGCTGGCTTGAATAGCCTAATATAGAATTCTGGGAATTGAAGCCCCACACATCTTCAGGCTGCCAAGGTTGAGAAACACTGGCCTAATAAATATACACTGAGAGATTCTGGATATGGCTACCCTGAACTTCCTTCTGCCTCCCCCATTCAGCTGAGGAATATGCAGTCTCTTAATTTGGACTTCTCTCTGGAATGTTTTGCCTCCTCCCTGGGAAACCATGAGGCTCTTGGCCAGATTCCCCCCTCCCACTTCAGGTGCACTTTCCACTACATCAGACAACAAAAACAACACTGTGGTACAATAACCTAAGCGCCATCCCTTTGAAAGATACAAAACTTCCATAATATGATTGGATCCTGCAGACACCTGAAAGAGATTCATGAATTTGAACAATGATGTTTTGATGATGATAATGTTATCCATTCAGTTGAGCCCAATGTAAATGATGATTTTACATATATGTTAAGAGTGGTTTCATTATTATTGTCTTTAATCATATCCAAATAGAAAAAGAAAGTGAGAAAAGCTCTCATGTAAATTGTTTTTTTATCCTTAAAACAGGCAAGTGGGAATAAATTAGATATCTAAGGGGGTGTGAAAATATGACAAGTATGTCCACTTCTTATTTTGAAGACACTCAATGTACAATGTATGATGGAAACCCAAGAAATGGGATTAAGCTTAACTGAAGGATGATAAATAATGTGAGACAGATGGTCTTTTTCTTCCTTAAAAAAGTCTTGTTATAATAAGACACACTAGGCACTGTAATTCCTGGCAGTTTCAGCAAAATTTCATATGGCAGTTGGAAAGCGTCAGGCTGCAGGCCAAGAAAACCTAACCACCTAGGAAGTGAAATAATCATTGTAAAATGTATGACTAGTAAGGTTTTTCTTCCACAGAATACTATAGAGAATGTATATAAAAAAAGGAAGGTTACATATGGACTTTGCACGAATAAGGAGAAAGGCTCCATTGCTGACAATCTTTAGGAATATAAATTAGAATTAAGATCATCCATTTCAGAAGCAAAATGCATTGGGTAAAGAAAGAAGGAGAATGGGTTTATTTCAATTAGGAAAGGGGGCTTTGTTCATGTAATTTTTTAATGCTTGCCTCAGATTGGAATGCAGTGCTATAGGCAGTATCATGTTATGTTCATATAATACTGCTACATTAGTCCCCAGGGGGCTTCTGGGAATGATCCAAGATGCTGCTTATGACATTTAAAGCTTTAAATGACACACGGCCATTCTGTTTGGTGATCAGTTATCTCTGATTCTGCTTTCCCCATCAGATCTGAGAGGGAGGGCATATTCTAGACTATCCAACCATTAACTCCCTGGATAATCTCATAATTTAAAGAAAAAGGAAGTTTAATTGTATACATTACCTACATTATGCATTTTATATGCGGCCCATGACAATTCTTCTTCACTCAGTGTGGCCCAGGCAAGCCAAAAGATTGGACAAATTATGTACCCTTCTACGAAGCAGTGTAAACCTGTTGGACCTGGGAATCATCCTTCCAGGTTGCAGAATCTGCCTTGAAGAACAACAGCCTCCCCCAATTCAGTTAATCTTCCATAAGTGCTTAATACTTGGGTGTGTTCCTGCAGGCATTTAGGCTGGGACATTAACAAGGTGTTTCTGCAGGCATTTAAGCTGGGACATTAACAAGATTTACTAGTGGTTATTTGACTGAGAATATTTATTTTTCCTTGACTTCGGACCTTAATTATGTGGTAGACTGTTAATTGATTACTTACTACTGTTTGGTTTAACCTTTTGTATGCTGGTCAGGATCATCACTATGAGTAGCATATAAATTGCTTAAATAAATAAACACACCATATGTGTTTTCGTATTAGCCTATGTATTTCCCTGTATTTTATTTAGTTTTGTGAATGGAATCCTACCTTCCTCAGTCTTTGCCAATATTTATTTTAAGTGCTGCAGGATTTTTTTTCAATCAGGCTTCAACCTGCTTTCATTTTAGGTTTAGTTTTTAACACACTTTTTCTGCTAATAGTTCTCAGTTATTATTCTGTATCTGTCTCTTGGAGATTCCAGACTGGACAGAACACTTCACAGCAGCTTCAGATTATGGTTTATGGTTTTCTTACTTCTTTCATAGAAAGAATTGGGGTATTTTTTTTCCTGCTTCAGCTTATCTCCTTCTCTGTCCCAGAATGATTCATCTGCTCTTCTTAGTTTCCCCTATCATCTTCCTTCTTTCTGACAAAACTGTAGACTCTAGACAAGAATGCATGCATGTCATTTCGACCAGTAATTTCTAATTTCTCCTTCATCTCCCTTCTGCAGAATCCTATTTATCAAAAAATCTGGCAGGAAGTCAGAAAAACTTCACAAAATATTGTACATTCTAAAACAGCTGTGAATCTATTGTAGATGGAATAACTTGTCATAATTCTGGCTAGCTTCTAATCAAAACACTGAAGAATTTGGACAAAGGGATGCTATTTTTCATCATACCAGGCTATGTTTCTTTACAAACATTGTGGTTTGGGTGCTGTGTGTTGGAATTAAAAGTTTTTAAGATAGCTGTTGTGAAGAAAGATGTCAAGAAGTTGTTTCTCTTCCATTTTTCTAAGTGCTGTGATGCTGCACTTAGAACACACAACACCCAAGCCAACACACAACACCCAAGTCACAAAGCACCACACAGCCTACCATTACACAAAAACTAAACCTACCATACACAGAAGGAGTGTTAGAAATGACATCCAGAATTCTCAAACTTCCAGGAATAACAACAGCCCACAAACCCACAACCATACTCTACCAGGAATTTATCTAGAACAGGGGGTATCAAACTCAAGTTGGCCTGCAGGGTGTTTAGATCTGGCCTGCGGGACTGGTCTGGAAATAGTAAAGGATCAGCCCGTGGTGCCTCTACTTGCAAAAATAGGATGCAGGCTCCCCCACAATTACTTTTGGCCTCTGGGGCCCTCTGGAAGGCTGTCCAGGCCCAAAACAGAGCCTCTGGAGTGGTCCAGGAGGCCTTCCAGGCCAAAAACAGGATCTCTGGAGTATCCAGGCCATCCAGACCCAAAATGGGGCTTTCCAAGTGGTCCAGGATGCCTTTCAGGCCCAAAACGGGGCCTCCAGAAAATCCTCTGGGAAATTAAGTATCTATTCAAGCATGAGCAAAAAAACTCAAGACCATCAAATAATTAGGTTTAAGCTAGTCTAATTAATATATTTGCATTTCAAAGTCATTAAGTGGATCAATATAAAAGTCCACACTAATTCTCACTGCTTAACTTATATGCTTTTGAAGTGAATATATTTCAGGGATTTTTTTTTTAAGGTGCATTTAAACACATACACATGATTTTTATTCTCTGAATGGCCAGTGAGGTGCCACAGATATTTTCACCTACCAAACCCATGAAAAACAGCTTGCAAGTGAATCAATAAATAACTAATAAATCAATCACATTAGGCTAAGAGCCACGGTGGTTAGAGTGCAGTACTGCAGTCTACTTCTGCTATTCACCAGCAGCTAGCAGTTTGGCAATTCAGGTCTCATCAGGCTCAAGGTTGACTCAGCCTTCCATCCTTCTGAAGTCTGTAAAATGTGGACCCAGATTGTTGGTGGCAATATGCTGACTCTGTAAAACCACTTCGAGAGGGCTATCAAAGCACTATGTAGTGATATATAAGTCTAAGTGCTATTGCTAAGTGCAGCAAAGAAAAAATATAAGGACAAAACATTTAGTACAATATACTAACTAAGGATTATAATTCTGGAAATAATTATCTTATTGGAAGTATTGTGCACATTTAAGTTTAAGGATGGGTCAAATCTGTTAAGTTGGATTGCTGTTAAGTTTGGAACTCCTTTATGGACATTGTACTAGTAAATAAACACCAAGAATAAGACAGAGCCCTGATGGATTTCATATATGGCCACCGAGTCCAACATTTTGTCCCTTCAATAACCAGCTAAATAAGTCTGAATAGTACATAGCACAGGAGAAAAAATATCCCTGTCATCAATCAAGAAATATACATAGCTTTTCAGTCAAGGAACATACATACTGTACATACCTTTGTATAATATATGTTATTTTTCAAGAGAAAAAAAAAAACCACAGCTCAGATACCCAAAATTGGAGAGGGATTTTCAATTTTCATTTTCAATTTCATTTCACTCGGCCTTTGATCTGGCCTCAGTTATATCTTTTTTTTTATTTGTCAATTGCTTACAAAACAATAGGTACAAGTAAAAACATAGTTATGAATACATGGATACATATAAGAAAAATAAAAAATATATAAAAGAAACAATAGAACTGGGATAGTAGACATGTTGGTGCGCTTATGCACGCCCCCTACAGACATGTTATGAAAGGGGTGAGGTCAATAGTAGACAGTCTAAGGTTAAAGTTTTTGGGGTTTGGAGAAAAAGCCACAGAGTCAGGCAGAGTGTTCCAGACATTGACCACTCTGTTGCTGAAGTCGTATTTCCTGCAATCAAGTTTGGTGCGATTAACCTTGAGTTTGTATCTATTGTTTGCTCTTGTATTGTTATGGTTGAAGCTGAAGTATTCATTGACAGGTAGGACATTGCAATGTATGATTTTGTATACTATACTTAGATCGGACCGAAGGTGGCATAGTTCTAGGTTTTTTAGGTCTAGAATTTTGAGTCTGGTGGCATAAGGTATTCTGGAATGAGTAGAGGAGTGGACAACTCTTCTTGTGAAATATTTCTGGACTTTGTCAACTGTGTTAATATCAGATACGTAATGTGGGTTCCAGACTGACGAGCTGTATTCCAGTATTGGTCTAGCAAATGTTTTGTATGCTCTAGTTATTAGTGTAATATTACCAGAGAAAAAGCTACGTAAGATTAGGTTAACAACTCTTAATGCCTTTTTGCCTATGTAGTTACAGCTCTAGCATTTAGGTAATTTGAGATGAGTACACCAAGATCCTTGACAGAGTTTGGATCATCAACAAGGTCTTGACTATTCAGCCTGTATTTTATTTTCTGATATATTTTTTTTGCCAATATGTAGGACAGAGCATTTATTTGTTGAGATTTGAAGTTGCTATTTGTTTGACCATTCTGATACATAGTCAAGGTCTTTTTGAAGGGTAGCAGTATTGTCTGTGGTGTTGAATAGCTTTACATCATCAGCGAAGAGAACGCAGTTGCTCTTGATATGATCAATATCTATGAGTCACAGAAGATGTCCATAGGACCTGGCTTCCTCAGCTTTTGTTATCATTGTTCACTTTATGCTTCTTTGGAATATAATATAGAGACAATGTGTTAGAATAGCTCCAGCTGTCCCTAGAGAGATGGACTGAGATTGTAGTATGCAAGCAAGCACTCTTTTGCTTCAGTACTCAGCTATCTGCTTTTTTAATGTTCCAAGATCTTCTCTTGCTTGCTGGGCACATTTGTGGAAACTATTGACATAATGATTTTGAGAACCCTATGATTTTACCCCCTAGCAACTTAATTCCAAAGAGGAGATAAATTCCAGCACATGTATAGGTGAAGAAAACAATACTAGATTGGATAAGGGCAAGGGATAATCTGTAGAAGTTTAATCCAGATAAAACAGAAGTAATGCAATTTAGTAAATCTGCAGAAATCCTAGTCAGGTATTTATGCAACTGCACAGAAAGATAAATATATTCATACATTATTCTTCAATATATCCCTTATACTTCAACCTCAAAGAAATCTCAGCTACCACCTAAAAAGAATACATAAAGTTTTTTCTCTGTTTCTGACATTTCATTTTCCTGTATTATGTTATGCCAGTTTCAGCTGTAATATAGTTGATCATTATGAAGTCCATTAAATCTCATGCCATAAGAAACTTTTAGCCATCCTTGTCTAGACCAAAGAAATAATACTTCCTTACCACTACACTTCACCCAGGTTTGAAGATCTACTTCATTCCTTTAAAGAATGCTGAGCTGAAAGTAACAGTTTATTTTCTGTAATTGGTTCATTATTTCTTTAGTTAAATTTTATCACAGTGAAAATAGTTCTGAAATGATCCTTAGAAATAAAAAAAAACCACTGTTTGTATGTTTTAATAATTTATTTTAACAGGGTAACAAATGTTAACTTGCTGATGAAAAGAAAAAGTGAAGAACAACAAAAAAGGAACCTTTGACAACTTATAGAAAAAAAAAGATTTATCATGGCATATGCTTTTGTGCACTAGGACTCATTTCAGGAGATGCATAGGATAACATGAGGCTCCAGGCCATAAAGCATATATCACAATAAATCTGTTTCTCCTAAGTTGCTCAAGATACCATATGTTGCAAATGAAGACACAAACTTTCAAGTTTTCAATTGTATTTATATATTCATGTTCTAGAACCTGCCAAAAGTTTTTTAGGTAGACTAAGATTACAGTTTCCCCTAGGTTTTTTTGTAATACTGAAAACCATGGAAACACCTCAGTTATAGACAGTAGCATACTGAATAATATCTAGCCATTTGTTGATATCAATCAATGCAGGCAAGGTCACCGTTTTTCTGAATTATTCTTAAGTTTGGTATTTAAAATTTGACACAATGCTTGATATGGACTCTGAGCAACTGTAGTAGAGTTGCACAAGAGTGGTGAGAGCAGGAGTGGGTTTCTACCAGTTCTGTCCACCTCTGTAGAACCGGTAGCACTAAAAAGCAGCAGCCATAGAACTGGTTCTATGTCTGCTGATGTTTTTGCCCACCCATCCGCCCGGGCTCTTACCTAACCTTTATTTCCTGCTTTTTCAACTTCAGCTGCCATGCGAGGCACAGCTGCAGTTTAAAAAGCAGGAAAAAAGTGCTTTTTCAGAGGCTGCTTCTTGGCACGCAGCGCTGCTCAGCTGTCCAGGCACCAAGCTGATGACGATTTACAGGCATGTGCGCAGCGTGCAGGGAAGCACATTGTAAATCACCGAACCTCCTAAATCACCGAACTGGTAGTTAACCCTGTCAGATCCCACCCCTGGGTGAAAGTATACTTCGTGGACA